TGTACCAATGGTTCACTCAACCTACCTGCTAGACCTTCGTAAGGAGGCTTCCCGTCAGCTGGCATTTTATCCTCCACACCCAGAGTACAGCTGGGCTTTCGATGATGTCATTGTCTTTGCCTACTCAGCACGCATGGCAGGTGACCTGAGTACAATGCCTGAGACCCTGTATCTGACAGTTGGGTTTTTTTGTAGAACCTTTACATAAAATATTTTTCATTTTTACTTTTTCGCAGATGTTCAGATGTATGTGTGCAACAAAGAGACTTATGGGTACCTCCCCGTGCCAATGCGCTCCAATGCTAACTTGCAAGACGAGACAGAAAGCTTCATGCATACACATCTTGAGGTCATGGGTAAGTCGGTGCTCAACTAGGGTTCAAGTCTACAACTGACGTATTTTTAGTCTAATGTTCAAGAATGAGCTTTTGACAAATTTAACTTAGTGAAATTAATTAAAAATCACATTACTTTCCTGTACAGACTTGTGTAGAAGTGCATTGTTTTGCTATTTAAAGGTTAAATATACTTTTACACATATAAAAGCCATACAGTCTTAACACACAGTCTGTCAGTCTTTTGTGTATTAAATGTTTGTTTATGAAATTGAAAAAAAAATTGTAGAGATTATTTTTAAACAGACTCATTATTTTATCATTGGAAAAGTTTAACAGAGCTTTATATAATTTATACAATATGCAGTGTACAGCACTAGAGTTTGAGTATTTCTCCCGTTAATTTGCATTTAGTTTAAAATAAACTCTTACTGTTTCATACATCGTTTTCCAACAACTTATGAACAGTACTTTACAAAGATATACCAGTGACAGTAAATGTAGTAAATCTCTCCACCACCTTTTTTATTCCCTTGTCTCTTTTCCACTTTATTTGGAAGTAAAAAACCCTGCGCTGGAGTACTCCAGTCACCTCTCTGTTCCTTCCAAGCAGCTTAACAAGATGGGCTTTGATGAGGTTAGTAGAAAATGCAGACATCACACAAGCACAAACACACAAACACAACAACACATGCACACACAAATAACTAATACACGTTCTTGAGATGTAGCTCTTGTGTGCACCCAGGTGTTTATGATAAATCTGGTGCGGAGGTCTGACCGACGTCAGCGGATGTTAAGTACACTGCACGAGCTGGGGCTCAGCTGTAAGGTCGTCGCTGCTGTGGATGGCAAGTAGGTTTCTCATTTTGTTTCTCCTTCATTTTATTCTGAATTGTATTTTAGCAGCAAGAGCCGAATTAAATAGAGAAGGGTTGAGACTTTTGCATTTCACTCAAATAAAGCCACACCCTGCCAAGCAGCAATACAAAAATCTGTTTATAAGGTTTTTAATTCAGCTGATAAGCCACAACAAAATGTGAGCTGATTTCCTTCTGCTGACATTGCTAAAATAATGCGCCAATTGGTGAATTTTATTTATTTATTAAAATTGTAATTATAGCCATGTTTTTTTTTTTGTTTTGTGGTATTTGGCAATAAACACATAAATAGTGATGATATGAGTCATGCCATTTAAGGTTTGAAGAATGAACACAGCTTTGAGAAAACATTTGTTATTAGGGATACATCAGTATTGGGCCTAATGCTGCAATTCTGCTTTTATCAATGGGTAGGAACAGTGGTTATTTTCTGCTTCATTCTCATCAGTCTACACCGTATGTGTCTCTTCCCACTTCAGCAGCTACTACACAAGTCTCACCCCTAACTGTGCTGATGATAACAGTAGTAATAAGAGGAACAGTAATAATAAGGAGGTTTTTAGAACTAATTTCTTCATTGGGCAACCAAAGTATTTTAAAAGTTATACATTGGAGATTATGCCACTGCTTGGACCAACGCAGCGGTCATTTAGACATTATATGTGTAAAATGTCGATAACTAACCTAAATTATATAAATTGATATGTATTGAATATGAGCAAATGTTAGAACAAGAAATGGAATGACAATTCTCAATTTGAATGACCAAAATGAAAAACCCAACCTAAATGGCTATCGCTACTCAGTATCAGCAAGTACTTAAATGAAAATTGCTATTGTTTTTTAAAAATGAGTATTGGGACAAAACCACATGGTAATTTTTTTTACTAATTTTTGTGTTGTTTTAGTGAGTGCTCAACCTGAACAACACAAAAAAAAAATCATGGCAATGTATTGCTTACAACTCTAATCTGTGTCCCTTTTACCTCTGTCTCTTCACAGAGCTCTGAATGTATCTGAGATAGAGGCCATGGGCATTAAGATGCTGCCAGGGTACAAAGATCCTTATCATGGTCGACCTCTCACTAAGGGTGAACTGGGATGTTTCCTTTCTCATTACAACATCTGGAAAGAGGTAAGAAAGTTATCCTTTTTGACAATCGTATATTCAGTAAGATTAATATCAGAGAAACAACTTCCTTTTCTGGGTGAGTTTTACCAGAAGACAAGAAAGAATGTTGACACGACTTTAGCTTTGTTTTAACGTAGGATTATGTTTGTTTGTGAGTAGTCTCTCTAGCTAAGGCCACCTTGCCAGACCTGGCAGCTCCACTGTAATATTCCCAATGTGTCTGTGTTCTTAGATTGTAGACAGTAGTCTACCCGTCTCCTTAGTCATTGAGGATGATCTCCGGTTTGAGGTGTTCTTTAAACGTCGTCTCCAGACTCTACTGCAGGAGGTGACAACACAGAAGCTCAACTGGGACATCATGTGAGTCATCAACCATGACTGCAAGGCATACACACACCGCCACAAACATTACCTTTATTATAAGAATTATCCATTGTGTTTATTCAAAATCAACCAATTCCTGGTCAAATAAATATAGTTTTTTGGTTGCAGTGATTTTGTTTTTTATTTTTAGAAGTAAAAAAAGACAATTTTAAGAACAGCAATGCCATTGACCGGAGGCCAGTATTTGAATGCGCATGAAAATGGTGAATTTCATTACCTTTAATCTTATGTGTTTGTGCAGATACATTGGCAGGAAACGCATGCAGGTGGATCATCCAGAGAAGTCTGTTCCCAACATTCACAATCTGGTGGAAGCTGACTATTCTTACTGGACCCTAGGCTACATGTTATCATTGCAGGGAGCTAAAAAACTCCTCAAGGCTGAGCCTTTAAGCAACATGCTTCCTGTGGATGAGTTTCTTCCTGTAATGTATAACAAACATCCAGTGTGAGTATAATCCATTGTTCCTCAGTGTGTCTTGTGTTGTTGCTGACTTTTGGAAAACATCCTAATTATATCATTTCTGTTTGCTGTTAGCTCTGAGTACATGAATCACTTTAAACGCCGGGATCTGAAAGCCTTTTCTGCCGAACCTCTTCTGGTTTATCCAACCCATTACACTGGAGATTCTGGCTACATTAGTGACACGGAAACATCAGTGGTGTGGGACAACGAAACGGTTAATACTGACTGGGACCGAGCAAAGTCAAGGAAAACTAAGGAGCAGGAGGAACTGAGCCTCGAGGCCCAGAACTCTGATGTGCTTCAGTCAGAACTGGAGAACTGGAGTACTAGGGATGAGCTCTGATGTTCAAGAGAACCTGTCCAATATGTGGACATTTTGTGACCTCTTGAAGATCAAAGTTAGGAGAGTGGAACGGGCTGCGCTGTAATTGTCTTTGGCAAATTAATAAAACGGAGGGCATTGAGATAAAAGCTAGACAAGTAGAAACAACACTTGTGAGAACAACTTCTCTACCATCTCTCTATCCACCTGATTTACCTTCTTGTCCTCCATTTCTGACATGTAAGAACATTAAATGTAGCCATGCCTCTTGAAGAGGTAGCAGCTATTGTTTCTTTTTTAATTGCCTGCAGTGCACATCCCTTGACTCAGCCTGGTCACATCAGACTGGTCTTGGCCACGGCTAACAGGAATGACTGGTAAGTGACGACACTCAACCAAAGTGTTCTTTGACTGTAGAGCAAATGTTGTTTGGTTTTTAATTGAAAATAAAATGTACAATGCAAAAAAATGAATCACTACATTTACAGCTACAATGTATTGTATCCACACCTGACTTTTTAGACAAGTATAACTAATGATTCCAACGTGTGTGACATTTCTTTGACTAATTCTACAATCATTTCTTTTTATACTTCTTTGGAATATAAGCTTTAGGTTTTATAACTTTACCTAGCTGGTGTGTTATTTATTTTTATGGACGTTATCTGACCTTTTGTGTGTGTGTGTGTGTGTTTTTTCATCTTTTAAAAATTTAAATAATAACAATACAAACTGTGTTTGGTTACATTTTTTGTTTTTCACATTATATTCTGTTGTTATTATAGGTGTGTTTTTGTACTGATATGTTTTCACATTTCTTTTTACATTGTTTCACTAAATATATGAAGAATAAGAAGGAGCCAGGCCTCTGGTTTCTAACTTAAATTCACTGATGTGCACACAGGATTTTACTGTAGGAGAACCATGAATCTACATCACTGTAGACAACCCCTCTAATTATTAATCAATTATTGTGACTTTGAAAATTGGATATATTTTGCTTTTTAGATAAAATTGTAATTGTGGAACATTGGCCAAATATACTTACTGTGACTATTTGTACCAAATATTCTTTGGACGTGGACTGTTTATAAATATATTTTTGACCTTAGAGGATCATTCCCTTCATTTAAACCTACTCCGTCACACCAACTTTATTCATGTCACCACAAACTATAGGCAGAATATAGTTGAAGACTTTTTCTGGCCTTGATTCTCTGACTTTCTCTCCAAACTGTTCCCCTTGGTTACCCTTTTACCTCTGTTTATTGTGCTCTTTAAGACCACCCAGTGGATTAATGGTTAATACAAAGATCACCACTTTGAGGCTTGTTGGAAACTGATGGTCTTTATGTGTGAATTCTGCATGTTCCCCTGTGTTTACAGGTGACACGAAGCCTTGCAATGGACTGGCAAACTCTAGATATAAAGGGTCCTCGGTTTACGGCGTCCTCGACATTTTGTGGATAACGTCACCATCTCCTATAAATTTATCAAGTAAGTCTAGTTCTGTCCCTCCAATCTATGGTGCACATAAACTAGTTGGTGAGTAGGATTGCATCGTAAGATTCCAGTCAAGCGCTTCCTGTACTATTCCACCCTTTACTCGATGACTGCGTCTGAAACTATAACGCTACCTTCTTCCATTCTTCTCTTCCCCTGGCTCTAAATCACACATCATGGCCTGTTTCCAGCACAACACTCGTCTCCAACTACTACATCCTGCCTACACCCACTTCGTTGCAGACTGTTGCCTGAAAATAGATGGGTTATTGTTTTGTTTTTTTTTAATGGTTCTGTGACAACCCTAGAAGTTCTGCAGTAAAAATCACTATTATTACTACTGATATCAGTTTCTGGTAAAAAATATCAAACATAGTTATTTGTGGAAAGTAAACGGCATACATTTTGCGATGACATGGTAAAATTCTAAAATGTATATTTCTGGTTGTATACTGTAGTTCTGTAGTTCTAATTCATAATTAACATGTTATACATACAGGTGCTGTCTTGGTAGTAATCAGCATAAATTACATTCTAATGAATTGAATTTGGGCATTTATAGACATAAAGCATGGTGGAAACATCTTCACAGTACGGACGAGCATGGGTAAAGCAGAAGGAAGGTAACTTTAACTCATTAAACCAAATAAAAACACTTGGGATGGTTTGCACCTTAATTCAAGATGATATATTTGATATGTGATGTTTGCGTTGTCTTTTCTGTGCTTCAGAGTGTTCAGTGTGTGTTTCGATTCATCCATGTCTTACCTGAACACATGTCTCTGAGCGCAGACTAATCCCTTTAGCTGTCTCTGTCCTGTCCCTATATTTGCATCACCTCTCTGAGATTAGTCAGAGGATTTTCTACAAGTGCTGGTGCAGATCAATAACCTCTTCACCACAGAGGGACCGGCTGCTATCTGCCAAGGAAAGGTTTGACTTTTTTTTTGTTTGATCCTTGAATGCGTTAATGAAAAATAACACTTACTGTATTGATCTATTAAAAAGTAAAGATACAGTATGGCAGTCTGAGTATAGAGGGATATGGTTTACAGATAATGTATGTGGAGCTTCAGGCTGACATTTAACAAGTTTTTTTTTTTTTTTGGTAATTGTTGATTTTTTTGTTGTTTGTTTTTTTCTTCGGTTTGTGCCCTTCCTGTCTCCAATCCAGTCCTTCTAAGAAGTGACACTAAAATTATATTTGATTGTTTTATTTAATTGTTTTAAGGCTGTTTAAGGCCTATATCTGATTGGTAGGTTGTCAACAAAGCTGTTTTAAGGGATTATAGCAAATGTGATTAATGACATTTGTAAGGTGAAGCAGCATTATTACATTTTTTCCAATCATCTGGGCTCCAACTTTACAAGATTAAAAATAAATCATATTTTTCTCCACAGCTTCTTAGTTCCAACCATGTTCCTCTAATATCAGCCTATAGGTTTAGTCCGTAGCAGCAGTCTCAGGTCAAAGCTTTGGGATATTTAATTTGTGAGGTTATCATTATTTTTTTAGGCCAGCAGAAACAGTAAGCAACTGTAAATACAGAATGGGTAAAGCTGATGGAGTACAGTTCTGACCTGAACTTGGTGTATTAAATCTGAATGCATTTTGATTGTTGATTTATTTATTCTTGTTGCTCTAGAAAATATGTATGTCTGCTTTTCTTTCATCCTAGTCAGCTGCTTCTGGAAGGGCTGCAGTGATGTAATTAAAGTAAGACTGCTTTTATTTCTCAAAAACATATCTTGTCAGTAAGCATTATTATTATTATTCTCATCATATTATTGTTTCTACTGCCATTGTTGTTTCACAAACAATCATACAGATGTCCTTAAATCAGTTGGCAAAATAAATTATGATAGTATACCATACTCTATTTAGCAGTAGCGTACAATGTATTTCATGTGTACCATGTGGGATGGTACTTGGGATTTTCAAGCCTGATCTGTCCATGTCACACCAACAAAAATCTTGACAAATACCCTGTGCCAGTACTGTAGCTATAGATGCAGTTTGCTCAATTCCAAACTGTGGATTCTTTGACCATCCAATCAAATCACTTGAATCGCTTATACCTTACTGTAGGCCACCCAGAAGGCCTTGATGTGGCCAACTGAAAATCTGATTTGTTAAAGAAACAATATCGTTGCCATTCTTTTAGGTTCCCAGCACCCGCACTACCGATTCTGCAGGCCTTAGGGCAGATATCCTATATGTGACTGGAAGCTGAGCAACTAATAGAAAAGCTGAGGATGAGAAATAATGATGAGAACCGACTACTCTGTATTAGCAACCCGTATTTGTCCCACAATAGAAAAATTCACAGTGTGAGTCTTTGCAATACACACAGAGGCCACAGACCAGCAGAAAGAGACCTTGTTGGCCTTGATGGTACGCCACTGCTATTTAGACTCTGGGTTAATTTGACCCAAAACATGATTTAACGCATGTAACACCCTTGTTTATTTATTCATCTGTTTCTAGGGCTTGTGCTAAACAGTTACCTGCTACCTCTCTTTCATAATGGTGGACCTATTCTTGAACCAGATCCTTGTTGAGAACAACTGGGACCAGGATATAGTCAACACAGAACGTGAAATCATGGCAATCCTTGAAAACCGTATTGTGATGCTGTTTTTTGCATCTGCTGAGTGTCAAATGTGTCGGGAGTTTTTGCCTGTTCTAAATGAGTTTTTCAAGAAGCTGAAGGACCCAGCATTCATCGAGTATCCTCAGCTACTTGCACTCATCTTCATCAGGTCTCTGTTCTCCCTCTATCATTGCCTCGATGCAGTGCTGTAATTTCACAGTTCTCATTTTCTTAAACTCCCAAATTCCTCCCTGCAGCTTGGACCAATCAGAGGAACAGCAAGAAAAGGTCCTTAAACAGATGCACAAAAGAGTTCTGTTTTTGACATTTGAAGACCCATACAGGAAGTAAGTAGACAAAGAGTTAAGCAGCAGAGTATAGAGAAAAATATTTTCTGTCTGACCCTATTTTTAATAAAGATAAGCCACTATTTTTTTTTTATAAATGATCACGTTTGCATCATTTCTAAGAAGAGCAACATTTGGGACGATGTAATCTCACATAATAATCTGACATTTACTGTCTACAATATGAACAGTTAACAAATGACTTACCAACCTTTTCTCATTTGTGTCTTTAACTACTTCTCAGTGAACTTCGGACTCTGTTTAAGGTGAAAGACCTCCCAACAGTAGTGGTTCTTCGCCCTGATGGATCCATTCTCTCCACGAATGCTGTAAATGACATCTGTCGCTTGGGTTCAGACTGTTTTCGTAACTGGCAGGAATCAGCAGAGCTCATTCAGAGAACCTTTATGTTGAACGAGGAGTTTGATGACCTCAATCTGCGAAGCGCCACTGATCCTGTGAGAAGACTGAAGTACAAGACAGAGGACGACAAGAGAAAAAAGAAATGGTGGAAGTTATAGCTAAAACAGTAAGTTGAAAAAAATATATAAAAAAATATATATTTTTTAATTTTATTCTTTATAAAATCATAATTAAGAACATGACGCACATGTCTTAAACAAAAGATATTGGGAACAACTGACTTATGTCCTTAATCATTTATAATGACTCACTCATAAAATAAAAACATGTATATCAACTGATATAAGTTAACATTTATTTAAAAGCATAATCTTTTCATGTTAATATAAGTTTAATATAATATTGACTGAATGTACTGTATATAGTAGATGTTGTATAGATTACTTTTTGGGGAAAGTTTTATATGTTATGTAAAAGAAAACTGTAAATCTTACTAACAGATATTGTGCTTTTTGTATTTGTGATACATTATATGATAATAGAATTTATTTGACTTGGAACTCTGCATAAATATGTTCTGTTAAGAATCCTTAAAAACAGAAATATGCACATCTGCACATGATATAGAACCCAGATCCCAGATCCCACATGCTTGCAGACAAAATAAACCAAAAACATTGTGATCCCCCCCTGCCCCCCCAGTCTTTTCTGTTATCCCCAGTTAAATGTTTATGCATGACTAATGTTAACTAGGACACTGCTGGGTTTGACCAGTTAGACAGTGCAGTTCCAGTGACTGCTCATCAACGTCAGTGTGCACTGACTTCTTCTTGGCAATTGATGATTATGATTGATTATGAACTCTTGAGGTGAGGAAACCACCATTGCTCCAAAATGGTGGCTAAGGAAGAGGACTTACAGTATGTCCGGAAGGCTGCAGGTTCCTTTGTTGAGAAAAGAACTGGCATGTCAAACATGTGGAGTGCGGTACGTTTGGTGTATAGAATGGCTGTGGGTTCTTCTAGAGCTGCTCAGAACAAATGTCTTCTTCTACTGTAAATATCAGGCAGTGGTGATGTGTACTAGGCTGAAGAGTGTCCACTAAGCACGCACAAAAGAATTTTCAAATGACGTCCCTATACAGGAGAGAAAGAGAATTATGAATGAACACGATGGTGAAGATTATTATTGATGTTATTATTATTATTGTTGTTGTTGTTGTTGTTGTTTTAAATGAATCATCCTAATGCTCCTTGTTAATACACCCTCTCCCCTGCTTCTGTCTCTCTACACTCAGGACGCAGAACGCGCAACAAGCTGGAGACAGCGAGCTAGAGAGGGAGGGAGAGGGAGAGAGAGACATAGACACAGAGAGAGAGAGACAGAGCGAGAGACAGATGCAAGGCGAGGCCAGGAGCGGGGATTCCAATCTTTCTGTTTTTTCCAGCTGTTGTTACTGTTTCTTTTGTTTTCATATTTTTGCTGTAGGTTTTTTTTTTTTTTTAATCCGGGATACATTTTGCATCACCATTATTAAAAAAGATCCAGACACATCTTGAAATCCGTCCTGATGTGCAGCTGCGCCTAAATCACGATCTCGTCAGGATATGCGGAGCACGTCAACCGTGTTTTCTCTGGATGCCGCGATGAAATAAAACGCATCTCTGGGTTTTGTGTCTGACAATGACAAGTGGATTTTGATGAGCTGCAGAAGTCGACGGCAGCCGCCGCTGCAGTCAGAGGTCAGTAGCGAACAATTTGCGCCTGAAAATTGTTTTTCTGTGATATCCTGCTTATTGCCCCTCATTTCCATTGGCGGCGTCAATGTTATAGCCCGCATCTTTTCTGGACATGAAACCCGTGGAAATGATACCGACGTGACGCACCGTTAAGCAAACACACACAGCACACAGCAGGGAAGACGACGGGCCTGGACTGGACGCAGGGAGGGAGGGTGTGAGGTCCAGCGAAGAGCCGTACACAGAGCACTGATCAAAGGAGGAAGACGCCCAGTTGTTGGACACGGCTGTATGATGACTTTAATGCAGCCCCGTGGGCATTAACGAGCCACACCACCGATTTCCAATGAATGAATATCTTTTAATGCATCGAAAAGAGTGAAGACGGATCAAGTGAGCACGCAGTGCACGCTGAGACGGAATGCGGGAGACGCAGTGAGCCAGCAGCCAGAAGGTGGAGGAAGAGGAGGGACATTGGAGAATTGACGGTAAGATCTGGATGGATGCTGTGAAAATGCAACCACTATCACGTATGCACACAGGCTTAATCAGCTCTGCAGTCAACGTACTGTAGGTGTAAATGCTGCTGCTGCTGCTGCTTCTGTCAAGGTCTATTTGATCATTTGAGGCCCGGGATCTGATGAGCTACTGTTGCTGCTGCTGCTGCTGCTGCTGTTGTTCAGGGCCTTTCTCTGCCGCTGCTGTCTGTCATTACAGCTGGGGCAGTAGTACAGGAGTGCCAGGCATGTGTGCTGTAAAATATTCATAAGCACGTGATCATCTTTCTTAGTGCATCTGAGAGGAGACGTGCAGAACAGGCAGAGTGGTGTAATGGTACAGGGTGTCTCATCTAAGTCCATCCTTGGAGCCCGTCACCACTGGGCTGATATTTGTCTTGCACTGCAGTGTGTACAGTAAAGTAGTGACAGCACTGTACAGTTTGGAGGACTGTGGGGAAAAACATACAGTATTTGGTTAGCGGTATTTGCAAGTTGACCAGGAACATGGACCAGGAGACGTGAGGAAAACAACCTAGTCAGGCTTCATCAGTTGATCAGACAGAGCCAGGTACTGTAGGATGAGGCTGCCCTAATAACAGAGAGATGTGAAGGTGAAAAGAGAAAATGGAAGAGAGGTACAGAGAGTTGAGTGATGAAGACTCATTTCTCTTGTGTTTCTTTTTCTGTAAGGTTTCGTGGAAAGCGACAGTAGTTACTGATTTGAAAATTAGTGATGACATAGCTCTGTGTGTGAGTATGTCTACACCTGTGTGTGTGTGTATGTATTGTGTTAGAAACCCATTTATGACTGTTTGTTACTTTGTATGGATTATTTCCATTAAGCAGTGTTTGAATTGGTTTGTTAACTCCTGGAATAATTAACAGCAATGGTAAATTCTGAGATCACACAGGAGAAAAAATTTTTTGTTTGTGATTAGTGGTGAGGACCAGTTCATAATGTTTTAATTGTTGAAAGATATTCTTTGATTTATTAGTTGTCTCCATCAGAAAATTAGAATTTTTCTTCAAGTCAACAAAGGCACAGCCATCCAATGAAACCAAACTAATTGAACTTTTGAATTTAAAGTCAATAGAATGCTTTGACTGTGACAATGACAATGATATTGACAATCAATACTCAGTCCATAATAATGGCGAAGGGCTACTCTGTGTACATTAATGAAGATCAGGAAACGACAAAAAATAGGACAACAGCGGGGGGTTCAGACAGGGGCTACCTGGGCTGTTTTAAGATCTGTTGTATAACATTAGCAGCCGGCTGCGGGCTAACCTTTTTAGCAGTAATTGGTTTTACCGCTGGAGTTGGACTACTAACTTTAGTTTATGTTCATTCTGAGATGAACCTATGGCTTTACCGCTGGAGTTGGACTACTAACTTAGGTACTACTAACAAGGTTTTATTCTTCAGAAATGTTCATGCCAAAGGAGTCAATTTTGATTTCAGACCTCATTTTAGTCACCAAACACTTTATTTTCAAAGTCGTTGACCTTGAGAGAACCTGCGACTGAATGCAGTGTGTGGGGAATGTTCCATATTTACTGGTTTTTAGAATAATTTTTTTTTAATAAAAAACACTTGGAATCTGCACAAATCAGTACCAGCAAGTCACACTCATCACAAAATTGCAATTGGTACTTTATCGTATTGTATTGGGCCACACTCACATGTGAGACCCTAGTGTTCAGTCATGGAAGTGGTACTGTACCAATTGTAATAGATACACTACAGCTTAAATCTTCCTTACCTCCTAAAACATATTTAGTTAATGCAAAAATGTCAGGGTTATGGTACAGACGTTTGTACCTCTGTGGTGTCTGTCTCCTGCATTATCAGTTTCAAAAACTAAGTAAATGTTTTAGAATTTGCAGAACTCTGGAAACGCGCTGGAACCATTCAGATTTCCACAGCTTTGTGATCCAACAACACAACACGAAGGCTTAGCACAGCTGCTCAGTTAGCACAGCTCTATATGAACGTGAGCTATATTTCACCGGCAGCCATTTCTCTCACTGCTCTACCGTCTCCATGGTTATGTGTGGCTGTCCTCAGGCACAGAAACCGTTGGTTTTGGAGCAGGGCTGTCGAACAGGTGTGATTTGAATACAACTACCTAGAAAACCATCTAAATATTATAGCACTTTGAGCTAATTTTTAAAAAAGAAAACATGTCAGTGTTTCTTGTTTTGTAGTGTCATACTACTCTGTCTAAGGAGCTATCTCCCACACACACACAAATTAACACACATGAACATGCACACACACACACACGCCAATACACATCTCCATTACAGAAACACAAGCACTTTGTTGTGTTGTGCTCTATAGTGATTCACCCTCAGGCAGTGACATTTTACTTTCACACTCTCTCCCTCTCCCTGTCTCTCCTCACCCGTCCTCTAAGGGCAGGGAGTGTGAATTGTCGTACCTGGCCATGTACGCAGATTTTCATTGTTGTTTTTAAGATTTCAGTTTTCATCTGTTCTTACAGCATGGTGACATTTATTTCCCCATTTATCCGTTACATTTCAGAGGATGAATTCTTACCCTTGTTCTTTGTTGATCATTTATTGTTGCTTTTTGTTAAATGAAATTCAGATTTACTTTGCATTAGTACTACAAAACATTTAAGCTACTAGAAGAAAATGATGTGTTGTTTAAATGATCCTTTTAAGCTTTAATATCATAATATTACATACATTGGGATGTCTTGTGAAATGTAGGGTTTCAAGCTAGAAATAGAGGCTTTCAATGAATTAACACAAATTAGTTTTAATAGCACTTAGCAAAAGAGCAATGAAGCAAAGATCATTTGTCAACTCATATGTTAATAAAAGTCAAGTTATCTGATTTTTTTAAATTGTCAGTGGGTTAAACGACAAACAGTTGTCTCAGTAATCCCATTTAAAAAAGTTCATCAAAATGTATTAATTGATTTATTAATTTTTAATCCCTAGTTTATAAAACATAAGGCAACAAGTTGAACGTCCTTTTCACCTTGTGTTCAAACTAATTCATTGCAAAGACAAGCTATGTACTGTTAAAAAAGTACTGTACTGTTTTTCATTTAAAATGATGTATAAGTATAACAAGAAACATTTATATAGACAGACAAGAATGAGCTTGCTAATAGATGGCTTCAATAAGGTTAGACCGAGAGCTGAGCTGACAGATTACCAAGACAGTGGTGTCTGTGTGACTACATCATTCTTCGATGGCTGTCAACTGTGTAACCCAGACATTGGGCGACTGGGCGTTTCTCTGCAGCCATTCCATCTGCAGTTCTATGTAACGGTTTTTCTTGCTGGCCAATATCCACTCCAGATCAGCCACTAACATATCAGAAACTTATTGGACATACAGTATATGAGCTAACGGCGCCTGACGCCCCCAAATTGATACCAATTACTGCTTAAAACAACTGGTTATAAGTGATATGGTTCTCTTCCAAACACTTCCCCTCTTGTCTGTTCTGACCAACAGTGCAAACTGCTCAATCCTGCCAATACACCTTTGGTTAAAAGGACAG